CCCATTTCCCTTTCTTGCCTTCCCAACACCTGCATGCTGTGAAGCACATGGGCTCTACACGAGCAGAGGCAGAGCTGCCTCGGCCCTTCCAGGGCAGTTAGTAATGGAGCTCAATTTTAAATAGTTATTTTCCTAAGGCGCTTAGCTGCAGATTCAGAAAAAAAAAATATTTTGAATCAGAGGGAGTGAAATAATCTGAATTACTGCACAAACTGACCTTTGAAATGGAGTTGTAGAGGAACAAGTGAGAAATGCAGCGTTGAGGGTGCTGGGGGCACCGCAGTGCCAGAGCAGCTCTTTCATCGAAGGGCAAAACCCATGTGCAGTAAATATCTGCAAATACACTTTGACATTCAAAAGCAGAATCCAAATTCTTTTTCATTTATTTCCTGCGAAGGTTCAAGCAATTGAGGTTCACTGGTTGGGAGGACATTTTAACCATTAATATTTGCTGCTTTCCAGTGTGTTCCTGAGGTTACAGTTCAGGCTGCTACATCAGAGGCACCCCAGACAGCACGGCCCAACCCACAACATGAAGTACGGCAGGGAAACCTGTGGGATCTCACAACAAATGGTTTGTGAGCAGTTTCCAAAAAAATTCACAAGATACTCTGAGCAAGCAGCCCATTCCAGGCTGAATCATTCCTAAATGGTAAAGCAGGGAAATGCATTAGCTGAAGTTATTAATTACAAACTGCTTACTAATCCCCTTCCCAGTCCTGAAGGAGCACGGGGTGCTTTTGCAAAGGTCTGAGTGAATTTTGCCATGATATTGATTGGCCATTCTTATCAAGACACGATATAATAAGCAGGTACTGTCTTTAACTGAGATGTTGTATCCGCCAGTCTCAGGGAGGCTGAACCTTCCTGCCCATTGAGCCATCCCAAAGCTGCCCAGGAGCAGAGACCTGCAGTGACACACGGCGGGTACTTTGCTGGCTGAAACAGAGGCACAGAAAGAAAAATGCAATTAATATCACATGGCACCTCAGCATGTAGTTCATAACTTAATGTATTGATTTGCATGGGAAACAAAATGTTGAGTATGGGAGTTTTGCATAGGCATGGGACCTCTCCTGATTAGCTTTCTCATGGGAATAGTTGGAGTTGTATCCCTGCTCCCTCTCCTCTTCCGAGGGTCTCAGATCCATTTCCCTATCAGGACTCTGCAATCTGGAAAGCCCAGAGATAAAAACCAAGATTCGTTCCATCCTTCCATTTGAAAAGGCCTTCGAGCCCATTACGGTGTTTCCTAGAGAGGCTCTTTGACATGGGGACTTGGTTCAGGTTGTGCATTCAAGATAAAGAAAATACCTGTATAATCCCCTCTGGGAAGAAAGGATAATTACAGACTGCGGGTTTGAAATACAGCTGATGGCACTGACCTCCTTCCCTGGACCATCAATAAATACCTCTCTGCTGAAACACCAGGAAATTGAAGCAGCTGAACTCTGCAGCACCTCCTCAGTGAAAAAGGGCTTTTAAAGGGATGGTAGGAGCAGTTGCCTCTGGCTCACACCCACATGCAGATACTTCTTTATTTATATATGTATCTCCGTCTTATAATTTACATCAGAGACATTCAAACGAAGGCGAGATTAGTTCACTGAAAGCTCTTCCTGAAAGACAGCAGTAATCCCCTGCCTTCCTGGAGCACCTTTCACCAGGGGCTGCGCCCAACCGTCCATCGGCCAGAGCTGCCCCCGCTGCCTGCCTGGAGCGGGGCAGAGCCGCAGGAACACCTGAACACGGCGGGGAACAAACCTGGGGGGCTCAGGGCTGTCCCCACTGACCTGCAGTATTGTGGAAGCAAAACCCCAGCAGCTGCAGCGAGGAGTGGCCGAAAGAGGTTTGCAAGGTTCAGGCGTCCCCTTGCAGGGTAGCATGACCCAGGCCTCCCGCAGCCTTTTTTTGGGCTGCCCTGAACCCGCAGCAATCCCTGACGCAGCCAAGCTGACCAGTGCATGGCCCTGGAGAGGGACCAGGGGGGCTGAGGTGCTTTTGGGGTGGCTGGAGACAGTGCTGTGCCTGGAGATGAGAGATTGTTTTGTCTCAGGTAGTCTTCTAAAAGGATGAACAGACACCCCTTTAAAACGCCATCTAAACTGTAGCACACTCCCACTTTTGACACAGATGTTGCAACAAAAGCTCCAATATCCAGGGATTTGGTGCTGCTGAGGAGGAGGATTTACCTGTAACGTATCTAAGGAGAGAAGAAAACAGACTCGTAAGACGGGCAGCGATTTGCATGTTGCCTCTGGACTTGTTTTTCCCCTTGCAGCATCCTGAGCTCCAGCTGGAAATAGAACCGAACAAATAACACCACGACAAGCGATTCAGCTTCCAAGTACCACAAATTTTCCTGCTTACAAATCATTTTGCAAGCAGGTAGCACTTTCCTCGTGTGGAAATGAGTCAGTACTTCATCTTTTTGTAGGTAAAGTCTCTTTTCCCTTCAAAGCAAAAGTCGACGCTCTGCAGTCAGCCCCCGAGCGCGGGCACATGCAGCTCCTGGCAGCACCTGCACACCCAGCCTGAGCTGCAGATGCACTTTTTTGCACTGAATATTTACATGTAAAAGTGGCTGTTTCCAGGAATCTTAGTGGTAACTTGAGACACAAATGTTCGTGAATGCAGACAAGGAATGAGAGGGAGCGCAGGAGTTTGGGGGCAGAACATTGTCACCCTGGACCACGTGGGAGAGGGACGATGAGGCAGCAGAGGCAGAGGGCTGCGGATCAGTCTGTGCTGAAACTCGTCGGGGAAAAGCAGGAAATTCTCCGAGGCTTTCTAGTTCCTTGGGTAAAAAGCCTTTAAGGAATAGGTTCCTTTTGCTCCTTCTTCTTTGTACGTGGAACTTAAAAGCTGAGGGACCCACCTCTGCAAACCAGAACAAAAGTGTCAGAAACTTTATGCTTTATCTTGGGACACCTTGAAGGCACAAGGCTCCTTCCTCCACCCACTAGATTCACAACCGAGCGATCATCAGTTTGGGGGCGTTTCTCTTCTTTCACCCTGCTGCCTGGTGTCTCCTGAAAAGCCCTCACAGAGACAGGGCTGAGGCGCCTGTCACACCCGCAGCATCGCTGGAGGTGCCGAGACCTCGTGCTCATGGGGACTGCCTTCCCATGCCTGTCTGCCTCCCCAGGGAGCGTCAGCACATCCTGTGCTTCGGCTCTGGACTGACTCCTTCCAGCTACATTTACCACCCAGGGACTTCTCACCCAGAGATCCCTTTCAAGCAGGGATCACTCAGCAAGTTTTAATTGGGTATTGCAGCATCCCTCCCAGGTAGATGTTGTTACCTCCATTTTATTGATGGAGACAGTCAAGCCCAAACTGTGGAGGTGACCTGCTCAGTGTCATAAAACAATTCTCCGGTGGACCAGGGAGCCGGCTGGGGCCATCCCAGCCCACGGGCTCCCCACCACCCCCAGGCTGCTGGCTGGGCAGGACATGGGGGGACAACTGCATGCAGGCAGGGTGCCCTCAATCTTGGGGAAGTCGAGGGACGAAGCCTTTGGTGTTCTTGGAAACCCAGGCCTGTTTTGAAATCGCTCATGCTCTCTGAATCGGGGGTTTTCATGACACAGCAGACAGAGACATGCAAGTTTCATCATCCAACAGTTCCACTCAAGGTATGTTTAAAAGACAAACCAGATCCAACTCAGCACGAAGAAAAGCATCTCTGATGGGAGAACACAAGCCTCGCGGGTTCGAAGGGAAGATGAAGCCACGTGTACCTGCTGCGTAGCACCAGGGCAGGCGCCTCGTCTAGCAGTTTGTGTCACTCTGCAGTGCTGCTCAATGTGAAATGCTTAATGTATTGCAAGAGGTACCTGCCTGGCAACATCAAAGGAGGCAGCGAGATGCTGAGCCTCGTGGAAATGCTTCCTGTGACATTATACGGGTGAGATGAGGATAGTTTCCCTTCCCATGTTCAACAAGACATCGTACACCTATTATTGACTCGCTGCCATTCCCAGGAGCCAGCTTCCAAACACAAGAGCATCATGAGACAAGATGACGCAGTGACAAATATTTCACAGCATTGGAAAGAAAGTCTGGAGCTGTAAAAGCAGAGGCCATACTTAATCAGTTTTCTATAGATATTGCCCAAGTGTCAGGAAGGGCTGTAAACCCCAGATTGCTTACAAAAGCATTGCCATATACCAGAAGTGTGTGCATTCAGATCATGCCCATATGCCTGATCTTTGGTAATTCACTTAAATACTTTACCTCAATTCTCCCCAGCTGCAACAGCAAGCCAGCTCACCCAGGCACTGAGTTAATGACTGAAGTACCTGATCCTGTATCAGCACTGGACTGGGGATTAGCAACATGTGAAGCTCTTCGAGATCTGTCAGTATAACCTTATTTCAAAATCAGTTTTCACTTTCAAATCAGACCCCTCTGACACTTTCTGCAGTGCTTACCTGTGTTGCTCCCTAGCCCAGGTGCAGCATCCCCAGGATCAGAGGCTCACCAGGGCAAAATGCTTCACTGGGGCTTTAGTTTGTGAAATCTGCAGCTTTTTTCCTCAAAAGCCCCTCACGCTCACAGCACCTCTTGCTTGAGAACAGGTCTGGCAGTAGCACAGCAGAGCTGTTCACCCTCTGGCTGCCCCAGATTCAGCTGTGTCTTTTTCATGAGGCTCTTGATCTGAGGCCACCAGTACTGGTGGGTCCGGCTGCAGCTCCTGGCTTTTGGGACCAGCCTTTTCCCAACGCTGCCGCAGGCTCCCCAGCTCACCCTCCATTCATCCATCTACCTGCTGATTGCAGAGCTCGCACGGGGCCAATCAGGAAATAATAATAACAAGAGCAGATAGCAAAGAGAGGCATAAGAGAAAAAGACCTCGCACTCCTTAGGAGTTTTCCGAGCAGCTGCTAAAAGCCCAACGCCCCCTTTTGCCCCTTTCTTTGGCTGAATCAACCCAAACACAGCCTTGCAGAGGAAAAGGCAGCTTCTGTCCTGCCCTTTATATCTTCCTGGGGGAGGGGGTGTCCCAGCTGAGCCCTGTCTCACTCATCAGGAAAGGTCGGGTGTGAGGGGGCCAAGCCCATGGGCACACGGTGATTTGGGCACCAGCATTTAACCCTTTCCTCATCAGCCTGTGTAGTGCGTCAGTCCATCGCTGTATGAATGAGCATCTCTGGGGTGTGTTTCTGCTGAAAACCCTGTCCTCCACGGTCATGAGTGGGAGCTGTCCATGGGGATGAGCAGGGTGAGAGCTGGCTCGTTGAGGGAAAGGCGACGTCCTGCCCCTGTGCCAAGGACGGGTATCTCCTGAACCCAGGAAACCTCAGAAGAGGTGACCAGTGCAGTGACACCAATGTGAAATTTCTATTTCCAGCTGCAAAGCACCGTGCGGGGCTCAGGTCCGTGCCTTGGCTGGCCACTCCGCTTGGGCACAGTGACACTGAGTGCCTCCCACTCGGGTCATGGCTATTCGGAGCCTGGTGCCCAGAAACCTCGTCGTGAAAACCCCGTCTCCGCTCTGGCCGTTTATTTCTCCGCCCCGTAGCTCGGATGAACCCTCGATGCGAGGCCGTGCGAAGCAGCACGTAGCAGGCACCTGCATGCACCTGTCTTGGTCTGGAAGGGTCCCTGCCCGCGGCGGCAGCGGACGCAGCGGGTCGGCGTGCTCGCGCGCCGGGGCGTTGGGCTGTCGGCTGTGTGCCGTGCCGACCCGCAACGGTCTCATGCTTCCTTCTTGTCTGCAGGCTGGCTCAGGTGCTCCGATCACCTGCTGCTTGCGGGAACAGGAAAGCAGCAACTGAAGATCGAGGGGGACTTTTGGTTTACTCAGATGACAAGAGACAATTTTGGTTCCCCAAAAGCCAAGGAAACAAAGCTGTCAGGCTTTAATGGTAGCTTGTCTCCCTCCTGCAGCATGTTTATGGGCAAACAAGCTGCAGATCAGACCAGGCAAACAGCAGCAGGTGAGGCCAAATAACAATAATTAATACTTAATGGCGAACGTGGCTATGTTTATTCTTGTTGTATTGAGGCAACGTTGTCTAATGGCTGAAGCACTGTTACAGGACTCAAGAGACCGGCTCCGTTTCCAGCGCTGCCGCTTAACCTCTGCGTGATGCTGGGCCAGCCACCCGCCCTGTTTCTCCCTTCGCACTCTGGCTGACCCGCTGCTGGGGGTGCTGGCTCCCAACGGCACAGGCGGCCCCGTCCCACGCCTGCACGTGCCAAACGTGACGGGGCTCTGGCCTCGGCTGGGGCCTCGAGGCAGAAGAGCAATGCCAACAGCCATGTTCTGTTACGGGTGCCCGGTGCCTGCACGGTTTGCTTGTGGCACGGAGCAGGGCTGACCCAACTGCTCGGGGCATTAACCTCCGCAGCGGTAGGCTCTGGGTTATGGCTTTCAAGGGGATTTGTTTCTGACAGTAGCATTGTTCCTAAAAATGCCAGTACGTGTTTCAAAAGTGCTGTGGTGTCTCCGTGCTGCGCATCGGCATCCATCCGTGCCTTCCCACCACCCTGCCCTGCACCTTCCCGCACGCTGCCGGGCGACTCGCGAACGCACCAGAGCTGTGTCGCACCAACCTCCAGCTCCGGCGTTAACTCACACTGGTGCCGGCTGGGTTTGCCCCCTCCCCAGGTGCCCTGTTTCATGGACATGTGTGGTGAGGCACGATTCTCCTCTCTCCTGCATGGCTGTTCAGTCCCCCGTGTGTACGCAGGTCCTCAGCCTTGCATGCGGCTCGAATGCACACCACCGCATGATTTCAGGCATGCACAAATACGGGAGTGTATGAATTACACAGAGCTCTTCAGGAACAGACAAAGTATATGATGCTACAAGCAACACCTGCTCTCCAGGGGTGTCTGGTTTGGGGGTGGCCCTTGCTGCAGCAGAACCCACATCCGCTGGGCACCTGGACCTGAAGTGACACATGCAGCAATGCACGGATACTTGTGAAACACGCTCTGACTTTTTATTTTAAGGGTGTCCCCTAGAGACAAATATAACCTGTTCTGGGACTGTAGAAGAAAGCTTTGACGTTGCTACTTCCTGGAAATAGCTCTGGTTTCCTACACCGCGTGGTGATGTTTCCATGCTTGTTCGCCCCTTGCTGTCCCTCAACCAGCTACAGTCGTGGCAAATGCCAACACCACAGCTGCTGACTGCAGCAGGGCACCGGTGCCTCCTGCCCTTCAGTCGCCCGACTTTGTACAAGTTCCACGCTGAGAGGAAACTTAATGTTCCTTTGCTCTTTTCCATTCATCTTCTAGTCTTAAAACAAGAACCATTTTTATGTAACACGTGCTACTTTTTTATTGCCACACTAACAAGTTGTTGAGCTGTGTTTACAATATGCTGATTGTAAGCGCCCCCTAATAGGCCCAGTCTATGTGCCCTCCCCAATTAATTTTCAGGTTTTCTGTTTCATTTTGGGCATGTGTATTTCCTTTATAAAACCTGCATCTCGCCCTGGTATTCGTCGCTGCGTTTCTTGCAGGACCCATCTGAAGGTGCGTTGTGGAACAGTCATTACCGAGGAACCACAAAGAATGCCAGGGCCGAAATGATCTGGAGCGATGGCATTTGCAGTCCTCTTTGGATTCTTTCAAAACCTGCTTTTTTCCAGAGTTAAGCTGGTTATTAATTTCAAAACATAAAAGCCAAAGAGATTTGGCACATGTTTCAGCCACAGTTTTAACCTATAAACCTTTATTGCGTCTAAGCATGTTTCTTACTGGAATGACGTATGGGAAAACCGTGCCCACTTCACCCCGGGTGCGATGCCACGGGCCCGATGCGATGCTGCAGTCACCATTGCCTGTCTAACCTCTTGTGTTAATTGACTTTTGCCCATTAAGCAGAAGGAAGCCTGTGCTGGGTTAATTTGGTTTGATCTTCTCGAGCTTCCTTTAAGCCAGAGATGATGAAAGTTTAGGGCTGCGGCTTGTTGTGGGGCTAATCCCAAAGCTGAAGTCAAAGAAACCCTTTCCACCGGTTTCTGTTGGCGCACGCTGGCAAACACGGCTCTCAGCCACCCCAGCATTGCCCGGGTTTTATGCAGGGCATGACGGTCGGAGCTCAGCCCTGCTGTCCGGTGGGATGCAGCCGTGTGCGGCTGGCCCAGGCAGGACAGGAACGGCACCCAGGCCAGCGCGACGAGCCAGCACTTCACCCTGCCACCCTCCTCCACGGAGCGCCCAGAGGAGACAGGGAGGGGAAGCTGGTCACAGGTCCAGACAGCGATGCTGTGGACAGTCCTCAGCCTCGCAGGAGACCAGCCCAAAACCTTGGGGTTAATTACAGTAGAGCTGGGAGGCGTGGGAAAGCAGGCGAAAGCAGAGTCCAGGCTTCTTCCATTTTTTTTTTTCTTTATTTAGTTTAGTTTCATCACCCCACCTCTCTTCTTTTATTGAGGAAAACAAGGAACTAACTGAGATATCCCAGCCAGCCACGCTGGCGTCTGCGGACAGCAGTGCACGGGTCCGGGGGGGCTAGAAAGCTGCCAGGAGAGTCACCGAGCGGCTTCCCTGGCTCTGGAGTCTCTCAGCCACGGTCTCCTCTTCTCTCTCCCTTCCCTGTCTCCCAGTGCCCATCCCCTCGAAGGCCAATGGCACCACCATTTCCACCCTGTCCATGAACAAAGATGGGCTGATCGGAGGGGTGACGAATCCCAACGAGGTCTTCTGCTCCGTGCCTGGCCGCCTCTCGCTTCTCAGCTCCACTTCCAAGTACAAGGTGACTGTCGGGGAGGTGCAGAGAAGGCTCTCGCCCCCCGAGTGTCTCAACGCCTCTCTCCTCGGCGGAGTCCTCCGCAGGTAAGCTGTTCCTGGGAGCTCTGGGACAGCCCAAGGGCACAGGGCTGCGCTGAAATTCAGGGGGTAATGCTGAAGCAGGCTTTGTGCTCAGCACCAGCTCTTACCTCTCAGATTAAGAGATGGGAAATTCTGGTCCGTGGTATGTTGGGGAATAGCATTGTTGTTGCTTTTGCTTCTTTCCTTTCAAACCTAAAAGCTTAAACTGGGGTTATAGTTATTAATTACATTATGATTTTTCCCTCTCCTCGTTTTCTCTTTACAGAGCGAAATCAAAAAATGGGGGTCGGTGTTTAAGGGAAAGGTTGGAGAAAATTGGACTAAATCTACCTGCAGGAAGGCGCAAAGCTGCCAACGTCACCCTGCTGACATCCCTCGTGGAAGGTAAGAGTCGCTTTCCACTCTCGCAAAGGAGGGGAGTGCCGAAACTTCAATACCCCTCATTTGCAGCTTTCCACAAACGAGAACGCTTAAAACAAAGTATGCAGCGGTCACCACCGACCGAGACTGGAAATATCCCTGTGTAAGTCTCCATGCTGATTCAAGCATGTCTGTCTCCCGAAACTCAGACATTTCTGTCGGACCAGTCATAGCCCGTGGGGAAAAGGCATCCACAGCCTGACCGGGGCCGCGAGCTTCCTTTTGGCTACATCCAAGTGTGCCGCTTGTTTCTGTGAGCTAGTTCTGATAACACTTAGCCAGGTCCACAGAAACCAAACACCAAAAAAGCTTGAATAAAGGTGCCAAGAATTTAGCAGCTGTTCTGTAGCTCTCTGCGCCCACTCACGACACAACTCGAGTGCCACCAACCGTGCCGCCCTTGGGCAGTGTCGCCCTGTTCTGTCGAGGCTCCATCACCACACTCAGGCTTGTGTCTTGTCTCCCGTAAGAAGGAGATGCCCCGTAGCCGAGTCCTGTCCCCCTGGGGCAGCAGGGGACAAGCAGGACATCGAGCAGATGCCGCAGAGCTCTGAGATCTTGTGGGTGGAGTTTGTCGTAGCCAGCCTCGGAGCGTGGCATGGAGGGCTGCGGGCAGCACAGCCTTGGCAGGCAGCGTGCGACCTGCCCTGACGTGTGAGGTGCCCCTGCTTAAAGCCGCATGTTTTATTTGCTCCCCTCCTACTTTTCGCGCTATGGAAATGATGATGTCGCCGCTGCATCTTGGAAGAAAAGGACACGGGACGCAAACAAATGCAATGACAGCTCCGGCTCCCTTCGAGCTTTGGAATCCATTGTGTTTGCGCCCAGCGTGTTGGAGGCAGCTGCCTGCAGTTTCTGAATAGAAAATCATCTCCATTGTTGCCAGCAAATTAAATGACCCGCTTCATTAGGCGGAGGTTGTCACTGAGGGCAGTTGGTTCGTGCTGAATGAAAGGCTGATTTCCATTAAAAGAAAAGAAAGAAAAGAATGGAAGAAAGAAAGGAAGGAAGAAATGTACATTCTGATTTCAGGTGGCTGCTGATGTTTTTGTTACTGCTCCCCAGCTCATAGTAAACAAAAGAGTGGTGCCATGTGTACTTGATGGCTATAGCTTCCTCCTGCACATACGGGTGATGGTACTGGGAGATGTTGCACCCAGAGGAAGGTGCTGCTGCATCGCCATTACTCAGCACGCAGGAACTGGCTCGTGACCCTACGCCCCAGGCACCCTCTTTCCTGGACATTTGCTGTCTTGGTTTAATTTGTTTCCTCCCCTCTGCCTTCCCAATGTCTGTTAATTTAAAAAACCAAAAACACTGGGTGCTTTTTTGAGGGCTAATGATATACTTTTTCTTACGCTGACCCACAGCCACTCATGTAGCTGGGGGAGAGTGGGTACTGGGGAACCCAGGGGGCACTATGAGGGCTGCAGGTAGAAACGCATCTTCCTCTGGGAGCCCTTGCCAGGTCCACCAAGCGCGTGCCCTCTCTTGGGCACCTGCTCCGTGAGAATAGCTCCAGCATGGGCCCAGGGGAGCAGCAGGGCTATGTTTCCACTTCAGAAACATCCTTAAGCTCTCAGAAAGAGATGTGCATCCAGACAGGCTCCTGTGGCCCCTCTGCCACATAGTTATATGCTATACAGGAAGCACAGACACTTTCCCATAACATGGCTTCACAGACTGAGCTCCGGGAGCTGGGGAGGCTGTGATGGGATCTAGGTTAATGCTATTAGGATGGATGGCCTAATACGTATGAGCAGCAGGGGGGCAAGTCAAATTAGCTCTGCCTGCCCGACCAGGATTTCGGGTGTTGGGCATGATCAATTGCCATCAGCTCTGATTATTTCCACGGGGACGCCTGGAGATGGATCAATTCCATCAATGGGTGGGCACTTCCACGGGGTGATGGATACGTTGCCTGCACGTCCAGCCCGAGGGCCCCTGCTCACTGCAGGAGGATGTAAACCCGTTCCTTCTGCCTGTTTCTCACATCCCCATTTTGTCAAGCGGTCATGGGGCTAAGGTCGCTTTTTCACCCTCCAGCCCCTGTTTAAATCTCTGCTCGATTTGGAGAGGCCAAGCAGAACATTTTGGAAGAAGCAGGGAGAGAAAGATCCAGCAAGGGAAGGAACCAAGAGAGAAACACCTCTGCCATTCTTCCTTGTGGAGCAGTAGCCCAGAGAGTCGCACCTCAACCTGCTCCAACTCCAGCACCATCTTGACCCTTTTTTTAAAAAGCTATCAAGGGAAGGAACCAGCTTCTGTTCAGAGTTGGCTGTGGTTCATTTGAACCCATGTAGACTCATTGTCTTACAGATGAGTATAAGAAACTCCTAGTGGTGTCTTTGCAGCAACCCAAGAGCCAAAGGTGGAGAGAGCTCTTGGGTGGCGATTGAGAAAGGAAAGAGCTCCAGTCCCAGCAGAAATAAGCCACACCAGCGAGACGGCTGAGGCTGCTGCAGAAAGCGCTCCCCTTTCATGCAGGTATTGACACAGCTTGCTAATCTGTCCTGCTCGTAGGTGAAGCCGTTCACCTGGCTCGGGATTTCGGGTACGTGTGTGAAACGGAGTTCCCGGCCAAGGCGGCAGCAGAGTACCTGTGCCGGCAGCACTCCGATCCCACGGAGCTCCACACCAGGAAAAACATGCTGCTGGCTACCAAGTGAGTACAGACGGCAACGAGCCACCGCTGCACCAGGCACCCGCAGCCTGGAAGGGCAGTGTTACCCCCAAAAGCTTACTCTTCTGCAGGGGGGAGATGGCCTCGTATGCTGCACACAGATCTGAAAGGCGTGCAGCGAGGTGCATAGTTAGCATGGACGGAAAGGCTTGCTCCTACATGGGAGAGCTTACCCTAACCCCGGGGAGCATTTCGGCACTGCCCCTTGGGAGCAGCAGCAGCTGCACCAGCTCCGACTCTGCGCCCAGGGGCTTTCCGCAGGCTGGAGACGAAAACCCCTGGAGGGGACAGAGCTGCTTGGGCAGGGAGAGGGAAAAGAAACCCCAAACACACCCACGACCCTGCAGCTTTCCAACCGCATTTATGGTAACGCAAACCTCTCTCTTTCAGGCAAATTTGTAAAGAGTTTGCAGACTTGATAGCCCAGGATCGCTCGCCGCTGGGGAACAGCCGCCCCTCACTCATCCTAGAGCCCGGTGTCCAGAGCTGTTTGACTCATTTCAGCTTGATAACCCACGGCTTTGGGGGCCCGGCCATCTGCGCAGCGCTCACAGCCTTCCAGAACTACCTGGTAGAGTCCCTGAAGGGGCTGGATAAAATGTTCATGAACAGCACAGGGAACGGGCACACGGCCGGAGACTCCAAAGTGTCAGAAAAAGAAGTGAAGCATCGGAAATAACATGCTGTCTCCCTCCCTCTCCCTGGCGGGAGCTTTCCCCAGTCGTGACAGATCGCACTGGGGGGAAAGCTGACCTGGTGCACTGTTTTCTGAACTGTGACATTCGAACTTGGGATGAAACTCGTAATGCAAACAAAGAAAAGACAAAAAAAAAAAAAAAAAAAGATTTAAAGAATTTGAGAAGAAAACAACTCGAAGGGACACCGGGAGATTGAGAAAAGAAGCCAGGTTGATGGCTTTTGGGTTTTGCCTTTTTTTTTTTTTTTTTTTTAATAACTCGTGGATGCAGGAAGCCAAGTCATGTGCAATTTTACTTTGTTTTGTTTTTTAAAAACCCATAGTGAAATCCTGACACGCTCCAGGAATGTGTTCCAACTGAAAAACTGAAGAAAGAGCAAAAGCCTCATCAAAGCACGAACCAGAGGCAGGAGCAGCAGAGGGCAGGGAGGGGGGTCGCTGGCTGTACCTGGATTTATCTGCTGGTTTTGACAGGCAAACACGCAGGAAACCCTCCTCTTTCCCCACCTACTGCCCAGTCCTAAAGCCAGGCCAAGAGAAAATTGCCAGCAGAGCTGCTTTGGATTTAAAGCAGTTTCAGACTTCGTTTACAGTTTCCAAACTGAGACTGAAGGCAGATTTTCCCCTGGGCTGAGGAGCCCTGAGCTGTACCACGAGGGGAGGAACGAACCGCACACCCGGTGGTTCCCAGGGCAGGCACCGATCAAGGAGAGCCTTCCCAACTGTTACGGTCACAGCTGGGGATAAAGCAGGCTAAGTTAAACCCAGGACTAATTAAAACTCCACAACTTACAGATAACAGCACACAAGTCTCTAAAACTAATAATAATTAATAAAGCACAAGGCGCAGAACTTGAACCAGGCCAAACTGAACTGTTCTAAATCTGTATATATTTATTTATGTGTAATTAAAATCTGAAAGTTTTAAAATGTCCAGTGCAAGTTATTTATATTAAATTGAATTGGGTTTTTTTGTTTTGCCTTTATTTTTGTTTGGTTGGTTGGTTTTGGGGGTTTTGGTTGTTTTTTTTTTTTTTTGAAAGAGGAAAGTCTTTGGATTTTCTGCCATTAGAAATGGGAATGAAGTTTTGGATACACAAAACTGTAGCATGGACAAGATAGGCTGTGATGATAATGACTATAGAAGTTCTGCAGGATTTTGTACTTGCTGTTGTTTCTCTTAATGCTGCAATAGATGTACAACACCCACACCACAATGTCATTCTCATTACCTTAATAAACCTCTTTTTATTTGAAGAAAGCACCTCCATCGTCTTTGTGAACAAGGATCCTTCTGCCTTTGTGCTTGTATCTGGAAATATTACATAGTTTTAAGAAACAACATCCTCCAGTTCCATGGCTGACGTTTGACTGCCCTGTGCAGTCACAGAGAGCTCGGAGAATGACAGGAGCTGGCGTTAATGCCCTGATCTCACAAGCCTTCTCAGCCAAGCCGGCCGGCGCCTCTGGTGATGCTGGAGATGAATAGTGAAACGATGCGTTTGCAAATGTTTCAGAACTACTCGGGATAGTCAAATCTAAACCTGTCTGTGAAGAGCTGCAGAAGGACCTCATGGTATGGAGACAATGAGTGATAAATTAGCAGATAAAATAACCCTACTAACCTACATGCAATGTAGCTCTCCAGATTAGCTGCTGTGTTTGTGGCATCATTATGGATAGGACTCTAAACCAGCCACCTTGTACTCACAGTAGTTTAGGAATAAACAAAATGATGGGAATTGTTAAAGAGGGATTAACAAACCAGAAATAAGATTATGCTGCATGACATAGGTGTGCTTGCACAGTGTTGCTCTGTCTTGAGTGCCACTCGCAGATCTGGCCAGCCCAACTGGTAAAGCCATGGAGAAAAGCAGCCAGGGAGATCTCAGGTGGGAACTGACTTCTGGGCGAGGGAAGACCAAGGGATTAGAGCTGTGAAGGACACGAGCAGTGTATGGGAGAGGCGGGGAAAACAACGGCATGAAAGAACACAAACAGGGCAAGATGACACTAGAAGTAGAGGCAGGGCGCCAAATGAAATAGCCAGGAAGTGGGTTTAAATAAATGAACAGAAGACGAGCAAGAAGCCGTGGCATTTCATGGAAGCAGATGTGTCAAAGGCTTTCGACACAATGGAAGAGGGGTGATTTTAGAGAGCATGGTCGCAGTTTTTGCTACACATCCACTGCTCATCACAGCTAGAGATGGGGCAGATGGACACGGGCCTGAGTCATTACAGCACTCATTATTTTGGACCTTTCTCAGAGTTGTACCCATCAGTTTTCTCTGGAGGCTTCAGAATAGGCTGGTAACAGAGAAGTAACCAAACGGTCCCAAAAGGGACGACGGGAGGTTAGAAATACAAACCCTTCTCCCTTTCAGAAAAGTGTGGAAGGAAATGTTTTATGTACAAATATAATTCATGGAGATGACTCAGAGTCAGAAACTTGCATCTAAATACGCCCTTCAAAAGCTTAGGGATGCATTTAAATTGGGAATCGGAGTGGAAATGTCCCTTGGTATGAAGCTTGTGAAAGCAAAGACCTAAATTACAGGCTCTGCAGGTCTGATTTTGCTCTGGACCTTTCCAAAGGAAGAGTCAGGGAACAAGGAGGAGCCAGGGAGCAGAATGGAAATACTAGAGACACATCAGAGGCTTGTTTACACTTCAAAGCTATTTTGGGTAATGCAGGGTGTGAGCTGAAAGCACAAAAACGATTCCTGTTTAAAATTATTCCAAAATAGGAGTGCCCTGTTCTGCATCAGCATAATCCATGTTTAAAATGGATTATGATAAAGCAGAGTGAGGTGCTTTTGTGCTACAATACAGGTT